TCATTGATACTATTGCAAATTTGTCTTCCAAAAAAGTAGCTACTACACTTTCTATAAAGTTTTTACTTCATTTTAATTAACAAATCTATTACAAAATCTGGATCCTTTATTGTATTTCAAGATTCACAGCCCAACCTCCTAATTTTATTCATTATTAAATTCTGTCCCTTCTGTATCACACATTCTTTCTTTTAATTTAATTCATTCTAAAATTAACTTCTGGTATATCCAATGGATTAAATATTAAACTAATCTCCTATACATTATTACTAACATCCAAATCTAGGTGAGCCTTGGCCACTCCAGTTGGTTTAGGTCTCAGATAAATTAGTCTGAGCTTCTATTCTTTTTATAATATTTTAAAAGTAAACTTGTACTTTATGTAAAATCTTAATTAAATATTCAATAAAGATAGAGGCATGGCCTCATTATTAATATTTAAAAAAAAAAAAAAAGTAATTTGTTTAGTGTTTGCAATTTTAATAAGATGTAAAGATTTAGTTATAATAAGCTTTGTCTGTTTTGTTTGTTTGTTATTAAGTATAAATCAGCATTCTAGAAACTTGAATAGTTTGCTTGGAGGGTAAAGGTTAAGTAAATAATTATTGTATATAATAGGATTATAGATAGTTAAATGTTCATTAGTTGTAAGTATGAATTTAGTAGAATTAATTTGAATGTTGGCTATATTGTAGAAAGATTCTGCTATATTAAGAATTTGTGAAAACTCTTGTTGTGAGAATGCAATTCAAAGAATATTATTCATACAAGCAAAAACTAAACAGTATGATTCAAGTTTGTTATATATTAAATCTTTAAGATTGGTTAGTCAGAAAACTTTTGTAATATAATTATTAAAGTTGTTGTGAATATATGAAATAAGTGTGTTATAATAAATTCTCTACAAAAGAAGAGTAATAGTTTCACTCTATCAATATTATTAAGTATAGGATATGAAGATATAAAACCAAGATTTATAACAACTTAATTTGCCAATTAGTAAATAAATTAATAATAGTGTTAATAATAGAACTAGAAAGTGCAAGATACTAAAGAGAATGTTGAAAAAGATTTAAATTAACAGAATCATAAGCTTTACTTATATTTTGAGATAAAAACTAGATAATTTTTTGTTGTATATTGTATTCTTAGTAATATTGTTAAGTATATAGATAGGTATAGCATTACTGTTATTAGGTAAGGCAATATAGTTGTATAGTAAAAGTATAGAATATTTTAAAAATATATTACTAATTTTATTAGTAATAATTTTATTAGTAATAATTTTTGTATATATTTTGCAAGTTTGTTCAATAAGACTTATTGAATAAGTAAGGTTAAGGTCTTTATTGAATATATTCTATTTAGAAATAGGGTAGATTCTGCTATACTTTTGTTGTTTAGAAGTTTAATCTGAAACAAAGCAGTAGTTGAACAAAGCAGTTATAGCTTTAATGCAAATGATGCTAGCATATTTAAGCATTTTATAACTAATGTTTATAGAACCACAGGCTTTTCTATTAGAAAGCTTTGCTATAGTTTGAGTAACTTCTTCTTTAGTAATAGAAAAAAAAAGAGTTATATCATTGAGTATTGATATGTGATAGTAGTTGATATTGTGTAGACCAAAAGTTATCAAAGAGACTTTGTTAGTTGGTTGATAAGCTGTTTAATTATAAAAATAAAATTGTATATAATGCTTAATAAGGTTTGGATCTGTAATTATTTGGTCAGAAAGTTTTATATTAGAAAAGTATATAATAGCTTTGTAGCAATTAAGAATGCTATTAATGGCATGTTTGAAATGTGTAGAAAGTGTTTCATCTCTTTTTTTAATAGTTTGTTAAATTTGTTGAAGTAAAAGAAAGTTTCAAAGTGATGAGCATGATAGAGTTGTTTTCAAATATCTTGTGCATGTTGGATTTATTAATTGAGTTGTGAATGTTAATAAAGAATAAGGATATAAATATTGCACTAAGATCTTAAGTTAATATTTTGAATTCTTGAATTAATCTAGTTAATATTAAAATTGTTGTTAGAATCTTTCATAATTTTGATTAAGTGACCAAGTTCTTTAAATGATAAATAAAGTAAGATGCTATGAGAAGATTATTAATGATTATAGTTATGTTTATGTAATTTTTTATTAGAGATAGAATGTATTACAATCTTGATAATTAAGTGTTCAATTTTGTATCAGATAGTTTCAATACTCTTATTTGTATTATAGTTAAGTGGAGTGTTGTGTATTTTAAGATTAGAGAAAAGAAGGTCAGAAAATTCTGTTCAACTTTCTAATAACATAGCTTTGTAATTAAAAATTCTACAACTAACATCAGTATAATAGCATAGAGTTTACTATATGCAATAGTAAAAGTTCAAGAGGTGAGAAGAATAAAATAGTTACTTAATATAGAAGTATTACTGTCATCAAGTCTATATGAAAGAAAGAACTATATATTAAATGAGTTAGTTCAAATGTAGTCAATATGGCTTTGACTAGTATTGTTTAACTATATATAGTATTTGTTGTTAACAGTCTTTAAGATCATACATATTAGATTGGTGTAGATAGTTAATAAGTTAAAATTTGAATAAAGGGCTACAAATATTATTATATGTATTAAAGTCTTCAAGAACAATTAAATAAAGATTTAGTTAATAGACTTGTTAAATCCATGTAATTACTATGTTTTGTATTTTATTACATTTCTGCATATTAGTAAAAAAAAGATAAACTGCTATAATGTTAAGTTTAATATTATTTTTGAAATAAAGATCTAAAGCAATAGCTCTAGCAGAATATGTTTGCAATTATGTATATAAGGTTTGAGTTGGTCATGAATTATAATAGCAGTGCCTTCAGAAATATGGATTTAACTAAAAGACGTAACAGCAGTCTAATGACAACATATATCAACAGAGCATACTGGGCTATTAACAGTGTGCAAAATGGTGTGTTTATTAAACAAGCAGGTGAAACATATATATTGCCTAGCAGAGAAGACGAGATTGTTGCTATGTTGACAAACCAGAATTCAGAAGAAGTTGCTCTATTAAGATTAACAAGAGAATTAGTAGATAAAGCAGAGAAAGAGCAACCAGAAAGAAAATTAAGTATAGTAGAGCAAAGCAACTATGCAATGATAATAGAACCCATTCCAGAACAAGGTCAAGACAGACTTAAAGAGAAATGTAACCAAACTGCAAAAATGAAAGAGCCACAAAAGATAAAACAAGATCAAACACCAAAGGAGGAACCAAAAAGAAGAAAGAATTACGAAGCAAGGTTTCAAGAAACTGACAAGATATTGCAGAAAGAAGAGGCAGCAAAGGCAAGTACTAATGACGACAGCAAGATGGAAGTAGAACAAACCCAACGGAAACAAGAGAACTTGCCTAGCCAAAAAAGAACCACAGGAAAACAAAGAGAGGATCAAGAACAAGAAGTCGTTGAACTGAACTTCGAAAAGGAAATTGATATAGTAGGGGAGCCTCTCAAAGAAAGCATATAGGCCCTAAGCAAAAGAAATTGTAACCAGAACAATAGTCTACTTGCGAATATACTAGCACACAATGTGCTAGGAAAAACGAAAGAAGAACGTATGAAGTTTATTAGATGGTCTCTAAGAAATAATATATATGTTGTAAGTCGATTCAGAATTATGTTGATTCGGAATCCACTTAAGTGGATTTCGAATCCACTTTAGTAGATTTGGAATCTTAAAACAACTCATGTAAAAATGGAATTTTAAAAAAAATGATAGACGAAATAAATTTCAAATAAATTTCGATTACAGCTAAAAGCATTACATATATGTTCGATATCTAATAAGAACTTCTATATCATATATTTGATGTTATGTAAATAATATCCATTTTGAATACCAAATTATGAAACATTCGAATTATTCTTTATTTTTATATTTGTAACTATGTGGATGACATCCACTTGCACACACCAAATTTAATTATTCTTTATTTTTACATTTGTAACTATGTAGATGACATCCACTTCCACACACCAAATTTGAATGCCTGCATTTACACGAATTATTTTTACATTCACCTTTACAATTGCATTTTGTACCGATTACAGTAGAAGTGAACTGCATTCTTGTGACCTCTTGTAAACTGATAATATTATCTTGACAAACTTTAAGCTCTTTGTACTCTGTTGGCCCCAGTGGCATAATTTCATTTACACCATAAACAATATCAAGAATGCCACTTTTGCATTGTAAACGATATGTTTTATCAGACAATTCCTCAATTACTTTGCAAGGCAAGATAGATCGATCAACACTGTTATGGTCTATTCTTGGAATTTCAAGACATACGTAGTCATTGATTGAATATTCAAGTGGGTGTTTATTGTTTTTTTTCATCATCTGATCCTTCATTTTGTTTCAATAAATGATGAGTGACTTGTTAGCATATTCACGAGATAGTTGATGATGTGATTGAATATTTTGAATTTCTTGTAAGGGTAAATCTTGTGAACCAACCTATTAAATAAAAATAATTATTTTAACATATAAATTAAATTTTATAAATAAAAATTTAAATAATACATTATCATTCAGTGTTAAGGATTCAAATTGATTTGGTATTAAGGACTTAAATTGATTCAATGTTAAGGATTTAACTTGATTCGATGTTGAGGATTCAAATTGATTCAGTGTTGAAAATTCTCGATTCAAGACTGTTGGTAATTTAGATTGATCTAATGATTCTGATTGATCCAACAATAAATCATTATCATCTGATTCTTCAAAAAAAATCATCAGGTAGGTTCTCCTCATCCACAACATTCTTTTGATATAAATCTTCAAGTATTGAAAAGTTCTTAAGTGGATTCTGTCCGAACACAAGAGAGTATGGTGATTTTCCAGTTGCACAAACTGTTTGTATATTCATTGCATCTAATGCATAATAATTTTTTTTTGTAAAATCATATCAATGTTAATTAAAAATAAATTATCACATGTATATACGTATAACTAATGGTAATTCTTCTGTCCAATTATTTGTTTTGTTATCCTCCATTCACTTTCCAAGTTTGATCTGCATAATCCCATTGGCTCTTTCGACCATCCCTTGTGATTCCGAATGTCTTGGTCATCTGTTGATAATACATATTCCTGGCCAAAGAGTTAATAATTCTGCAATAAGATTTGCAGTAAACTTCTTTCTGTTATCTGACTGCAAAATAGTTGGAGCTCCAAATACAGTAAAAATATCAAAGAGGAATACTGCTACTTCTGAGGCACTTTTACTTGTAAGACATCGAGCCCAGGAAAATCTGGTAAAATGGTCACGCACATAACAGATATATTTGTAATTATCTACAGGTTGGAATGTTAATCCAACTAAGTCTATCTGTACACGAGTAAGAAAACCTGATGCTACGATTGGTTTGGCAGCAAGAGCATTAGGAAAAGATCTATGTGTAGCACATGTTTAACAAGCGCCACAAAATTCTCTTATAAATAACTGAGGAATATAATCATACTGCTTTCCAATCTAAAAAATTAAGTTGTTATTAAAAATTTCTAATTATAGTAAAAAATTTATAAATATAACATTACTTACAACATTCCACATTTTAGATGCCCCAACATGTTTCAAAACACTCATATGAACTTTACATAATGTATCATAAAGGCGGTTAAATGGACATATTGTATGTATTAAGTCCAACCTATTTTCATCTTTAGCAATAGTAATAATTTGGGTGTTTGGATTTGTTTCAGTTCCTAACTCACGAAGTTGAAAAGAATTTTTAATTCAAAATCGATCTTTTGGTGTTTCTAAAGATGTATTGATAGGGTCACGAAGTACTGCAATTATAAGATCGTAGTCATCTTGCAAAATAAAGGTTTTACAGCATCTAGCTGGTGTTTTTTTTTCAAGGAATTTATTAATTAAATCATTAAAAGCTTCTCTTGAAATAAAGGAATATTCTTGAGTTGACATTTTGAATGAAGAAACTTTTGTAAAATACAATTACTAATGCATGTTATAATTAATTAAATAATTATTGCATCAAGTGATTTTTTAATGATCAATTTTTTAATGATCCGAAATCTACATGAGTCGTTTCGGGATTCAAAATCCACTTAAGTGGATTCCGAATCAACATAATCCCGAATCGACTTACAACATATATGTCAAAGATGTAAAAGAAACCTTTAAAAGAGGAAACCTATGGGTAGAAGTTGACTTTGACTGTGAGTATGGCAGAAATGATGCTATACAGAGAATCAGCAA